AGAACGGTGCTTCTCGAGCAGAAGTGCAAGTGGAGCAAAATATTTGACATTCGCTTGCTCATATCAAGCTTTGTTTGTGTGTTAGGGTTTAGCAAGAAGGTTAAAAAAGGCTCTTTGCTTCTCCCTTTGCAGCATCAGCTTTCTGTAGCCGCGTGCTTCAGGAAGGGCTGTGCAGGAACCACCTCTGCTCAGGGATGAGCATTGCCTTTTGTCCTGTAATTGAATTGAATGGGGTCCGAGACTCATTCTTCCCCGACAGCCCTATCATTTGAGTGCTCTGAAGATGTATTACACTAATATATAGTCAGGGCGACATGGCTATGATGATATATTAATGCAATACATCTTCACAGCTTTAGGGCTGTCCAGAAACAATAGGATGGGCATTAGATTACGTTCAGTCATATCACACTCCTGCACACATTCCCTGGTAGCAAATGAAATGTGTTGGAGAAGGAGGGGTGTTCAAGCCTGAAGTCAGGCTCATGACTGGGTAAGTGTAGCTTTCCCCACAGTTAGTGAAAAATCTGTTATTTAGCATGTGCTGAACAGTTCCTACAGGGGTTTTGGGGGTGTCTACTGGGTTATTTTGGAAACTCTTCAGTGTCACCATTCCCTGGAAACAAGACTGAAGGAATCACAGAAGCCCAGAATGGGTTGGGTTGGGAAGGACCTTACAGCTCATGTAGTTCCATGAGGTGGTTGGAGTATTATTATATAGTATGGTACTTGGAGCACTGTGCACAGTTCTGGTGCTCCCAACATAAGAAGGACATGGAACTGTCGGAGCAAGTCCAGAGCAGGCCATGAGGATGATCAGGGGCTTGGAGCACTTCCTGTATGAAGACAGCCTGGAGAAGAGAAACTGCATGGAGACCTCAGAGCAGCTTCCAGTAACTCATGGGGGCTACAATGACGCTGGGGAGGCACTCTTCATCAGGGACTGCAGTGACAGGACAAGGGGTGATGGGTTCAGACTGAAACAGGGGAGATTTTGTTAGGTATGGGGAAGAAGCTCTTCCTTGTGCTCTTCTTTCCCAGTGCTGAGGCGCTGGCACAGGGTGCGCAGAGAAGCTGTGGCTGCCCCATCCCTGGCAGTGCTCAAGGCCAGGTTGGACACAGGGGCTTGGAGCAAGCTGCTCCAGTGGAAGGGGTCCCTGCCCGTGGCAGAGGTGGGAGCTGGAGGAGCTTTAAGCTCCCTTCCAACACGGCCCATTCCATGATTCTAAGTGACATTTTGTTTTAAAGGAGTTGAATAGAAAAGAATGTTGCTTTTTCCATTATACTTTGTGAAATGATGTAATTTAACCTGTTTTGCGTTCAGCTAAATGCAGGACACTTCAGGCCTTCCTAGCAAGCCTGAGGTGGTGGGAGCTTCTTCTGCTGGCCCATGTTCAGCTCAGTAGTCTGAGTGGGCCACCACCTGAGTGTCTGGACACCAGTCCCTCTGTGGATGGGGTAACTCTCCTTTGGGAATATTATCAAAAACAAAGAGGGAAAGATTTCTGACAGACAGCACCCAAATGTTACAAGGCAGTAATATTACCAAAACTTTTCTGAATGGCTTTTGCTGTCCCTGCTCCTGGCAGCACTCGTGTTCAGCATCATCATCGCAACACACGCACGAGCTGCATGCACAGAGAGGAGTTTGAGGCTGGAGTCCTCTTTCAGGCAGACTTTAATCCCTTAAAATTCTGGTTTCATTCTTAAACTATTGATGCTGCTCTTTGCTCTTAAATGTCAGAACAAAATAAGTAATACCTACAATTTATTCGGGTGACATTTCAACAATGGAAGATTTCAGATTACAAACTGCAGCCCCGCGTTCCTGACGGTGTTGCGCTGAATGTGTGGATTTTTGTGGATTTACATAATGGGTTTGTATAATGAATATTTATATAATGAAAGCATTTACATAATGACCGCAAGTTAAACATGCACAATAAGGATTCCAGGCCGACAATGTAGGTACCCAGTTAAAAATCACCTCTAAATAAGTTCGTGTTTTATTCCTAAGGAAAAGATCATTTTATCATAGAATCATAGTTTGGGTTGGAAGAGACCTTCTCTTGTTCAAGAAAACTGAGCCCAACCTAATGCACGTAAAGGCTGCACTGAAGCAAATCATGATAATACTTTGGAATTAGTCGACATTGAATCATTTGTATTCACAGATCTCAGTTTCTTATCTTTTAGTAGCAGCATTGACAAACAGCTTCAGAATATTCTAACTGCGATTCGTTAATATGATTTAGTGGTGCATTCTAGATGTGATGCTTGCATGTAACCCTCATTAGTGCCGATGGGAGTGACAGGAGGAAAATGGTAGAAATTATCAAGTGCAGATGAAGCTTGTGTTTAGATAAAGGTAATTTGCTGCAGACAGAATATAAATCGTTCCAGAAATCAGGGCATTTCAACTCTCTTGCATTTTGTTTTCTAATAAATCCAGGCTTCTTGTTTGCCACACTGATATTTACTTGGATTTGAATGCCATTTATAACTGTCTGCACAGCAGAATATACACCTGAGCACGACACTGGTGCAGCGTGACCTAAATGGGAAAATTCCTCTTTATTTAAGAGACAGAACAGATTCTGTAAATTATGTTTCCTTCCATCACATTTTACAGGATTTTTTGAGCAAAAAGTTATTTGGATCCTGTGTTCTCCTGCTCTGGACAGAGTTCAGGCCATTAATCAAGCAGGGGACACCCAAGGCACATCCCAGTGCCCTGCAACTGCTGCTCTACACTCACTGCTCAGGAAAAGAGGGTTTTGTAATGATGCAGCCCCATAATGCAGCATTTGCAGTGACTTCGCCAGGCCTTAGCACTGAGGCTTGTCAAAGCATCTCAGCCTGGCCTTGCCCTTCCTGCATGCTGTCCTGGCAGGCTCAGCTGATGGAGCATTTGCTCCAATGCAGTAGACAGATCCAGCTGATCCACTGTAGCAGAGAACAGCGCACCCATGGGCAGATAAAGAAATGCAGGCTTGGAAATGGACAGAGTGGGGTTTAGGGGGTTGGAGAACAAACAAATGCTATTAGGCTTATGCAGAGTCCCAGCCTGGTTTGGGTTGGAAGAGACCCTTAAGCTCCTCCAGCTCCAACCCCTGCCACGGGCAGGGACCCCTTCCACTGGAGCAGCTTGCTCCAAGCCCCTGTGTCCAACCTGTCCTTGAGCACTGCCAGGGATGGGGCAGCCACAGCTTCTCTGGGCACCCTGTGCCAGTGCCTCAGCACCCTCACAGGGAAGAGCTTCTGCCTATGAGCTCAGCTCAGTCTCCCCTTGGGCAGGTTCAAGCCATTCCCCTTGGTCTGTCCCTGCAGGCCTTTTGATACCCATCTTTGATTAGTGCCTTCCTCACATTTCATTTGCAGGTCTCACTGGGGCTAATGTAATTGATCTGTAGCTGAGTGATCTCATCTTTCCTCTCAGTCCCCACTCTCAGTCCTTTGGTGAAGATACAAACTCACTGATGCACTAAAAGCCCTTGTGGTTACATGCACCAGTTTGACTGAACTTGAGACGAGGAGGGTCTAATTCCTTCTCAGACCCCTTCTCAAGCCTGAATGCTCTAATCCTCCTTCTCTGCCTTTTTCCCTCTCCAGGATGACTGTAACAGCTCCTTCCTGTAGACAACCTAATGCTTTAAGCTATTACTCTAAAGTATCTCCACGGTTTCCAATAAAATTTTATTTGACATTTAGTTAAAATCCATTTTCTGCTCCAAGTGTATTTTTCCCTGTGTCCCCTGATGGACACTTCAAGCAGAATTCACTGTCACTGTCTTAAAGGTCAAAAGTTGTTTTGGGTTTTTTTCCCCTAGACCTTGCTTTGTAAAGCAAACCATTACTCAGGATTATGAGATGCTGCAGTAAGCTGTGACAGTCCATGAAGCTGTTCTTCCCTGCAATTACATGGATCTCATCAGAGTTGTGGGCACAGCACAAAGACCTTCAGTGCAAAACCAGTCACCACTGTGGAGTCCCTGCAGAAGAACCGGTGCAATACCAGGCCCACAGGCTGCAGCCAGCTGGAGGCAGGGGGTACCCTTTACAAACACAGAGCCCTCCCGGATTCCCATTCCCATGCCAGGAGCTCTGAGATACGGGGCTGGATCTCCCATCCCTGAGCAAGGCAGACCCTGCTTTGCTTACATGGAGCCAGTGTTGGTGGCTCTGCACCAAGTCATAGTTGTAGAGATGCCTTTAATGTTAGCTAAAAGTTTCCCTTTAAATACATTATGAGAAATTAAAAGTATAAATGGGAACATTAAATAGAAACTCTGCTTTTAGGTGCCATTTTGCTTGCACTTTTTCATACATATAATTTAATTTGTTCAATAAAACCACTCTAATAAACTGCGCTGTATCATGGAATAATGGTTCAGTGGTACTTATACTGAATTAAATCTACTGCATGATGTGTTAATGTTTTTAACTTTCACACCTACCTCTGGAGAGCCCTGTGTTTTCCGGACTATTTTCTGCTTTGGTTTTAATGGCAATTATTTGATAAACGTCTGCAGCTTGTTCAAATGGGCTTAAAAATATAATCATATCTAGGGTGCCTTTATTTCATAGAACCACAGAATCCCAGCCTGGTTTGGGTTGGAAGGGACCTTAAAGCTCCTCCAGCTCCAACCCCTGCCACGGGCAGGGACCCCTTCCACTGGAGCAGCTTGCTCCAAGCCCCTGTGTCCAACCTGGCCTTGAGCACTGCCAGGGATGGGGCAGCCACAGCTTCTCTGGGCACCCTGTGCCAGCGCCTCAGCACCCTCACAGGGAAGAGCTTCTGCCCTTTCTGCATCCCTATGTTACAGCTTTCACTGATCTCAGCTGTCATCTGAAGAGGGTTTCAGTTCTGACAGCCACGGTAGGCACACACTGTATGAGGTGTACAAAGCGATGCTCCCACAATTCTGGAAACTAAGAACACCAAACCTGTTACTGGTGAGATGCTGAGGGAGCTCTGGGATACAGAGAGCTGTGCTTACCTGATGGAGAGATGTGTCTCCAGGAAATGGAGGGCTCTGGCTTCCCTGTGGCCAGGCACACCAGGGTAACGTTGCTCCCTTCGTTCACAACGATGTCACTCGAAATACGGTATATCTTCGGAGAAACTGGAAGGAAACAAGAAAATGCTGTAATGGAAAGGTGCTGAGATGGCACAGTCCCAGCAGAGCATGGAGAGAGAGCTGGGGTACCCGCACTGCCGAAACCATGTGTGGTTCCTGAAATATAACTGGCCAAAAACCTTGTTTAGGTGCAACCAGAGCTATTCCCATCATGTGCTCAGCAGCTCAGACATGGATCCAGAAAGCTACAAAGCAGCAGTTCCTCTGTTGGTGCCAAGCAGGTATTGCTACTGAGTTCCTGGGGAACTGCTGCTGCTGGATGCTCCTGTCTAAGAGAAGGCTGAGCTCGCTTGTCACAGTTTAAAAATAAGATGAAATTAGGTTTTTTCTGGTACTTTTAAAAATAGTGATGCCTGTCACATCTACCCCCTGTGTTCCTGGAGAGTCACAGCTCTTCACGCAGAACACTAACATACATTCCTTTCTGCTGCTTTGTATTGCTTTTAAACTTGCAGTAGCAACATGGCAAGGAAAATACAAGCCAGATTTTCTTCTATTACATCAGCAGAACTCTTCACTAAAGTTCATATTCTGCACTATTTATACATCTGGGCATAAGAGAAAAGAGTTCCAAATGGATGGAAAATGATGGAAAAAATAACCTACACTCAAGGGACTGCTCTACTCTTTGTAATGTTGCATGGGGAGTGAAAGAACTCAGGATGCCAGCAATGAATGTGGGAATTCAGGGTTTCAGATGGATCTTTCTGAAGAAATATGTATTTCTTTACATGTCTTATCATTATGGTTGGTATAGGCACACCCTATTGATGTTTCTGAAAAGCACTACTCTCTACAAGATAAAGAACAGATCCTATACAAACAGCTGTAAAAGACACAGATCCTACAAGTGGGAACCTACAGAAGGTTTCAGAACCTTCTGTAACATCTGCTGTAAAATCCCAGAGCTCCACAAGGTAAAGGGCTACCCACAAAATGAGGACAAGAAAATGTTCATGATCTTCCCAACCAAAGCCTCTGTCCAGCTGGAGCTTCACTCTCCTGAATGCCCCAACCTTGTCCTACTGGCTTGCATCACTTGCACAGCAAAACCCCACCATCTGATCCCTCCTCTGCAACCTGGAATATGTTGCTAACGTCCCCTCAAGGTATTGTGAAACTACTTTGTCACATGCACAGCCTGGTTTAGTGTGCTCTGAGATCCACCTGCAGATGTTCTCCAGCCCTTTCCCTGGTCCATCAACTGGAACTATTTCAGTTGTAGGAATGAGCTGGGGTCAGACTTCAAATGCTGGGAATTCCCAGTGCTTGCTTGTGCCTGTGCACTTGTGAGCAAAGAAAACTGAAAGTTTGTGTAAAGTGTTTTTAATAAGCACAGAAACATCATCTTCAGGTGAAACGAGGGTCTGGGGAAGGCTGAACCTGCCCAGTTCCCAAAGCAATGAAGGTCAGCATCAGCCACCTTTCAAGTTCAAGCAGGATTGCACTCAGAGGTGTAACACTGAGTTTGTCATAGTCCAACTCACAAAGGTGGCAATCCACTTTTCCCTACCTCACTTGCTGACCTGCAAGAGCATGCAGTCACTACAGACCAATTTTAGCAACAGACACATTCAGAAGAGTTATTTTCATGTAAAGGGGTAATTTATTAATGTACTTCTCTGCTGATCCCTGCAATGAGCCTGTTACTGAACTTCCTCCTGCAGAAGTCTCTTCCATTCTAAAGGAGATGGTGAGCACCCACCAGTGTCGTGTCCACCCCATCACAGCTACAACATGACATGGGATCCCCATGCACTGGAATGGGGTGTTGTTGACACTAGTCTCTTCCACTCCCCCATCCCAGCCCAAGCTAAATATCATTAGTATTTCATCTTGGCAACAGACAAAACACTGAGAGGAATTCTTATTCTTCTTATTTATGTGTACAGAGAATGAGCAATGAATCTGCTTCCTACAGACACCTGGCGGGGGATCACTCCCTCTGAAGTGCAGAACTCCACCTGAGAGCAGGGTATCACGAGGGATGGCGCATATGCAGTGGTTTTATTCAATCTATGGTATTACAGAAATATCCGCCTGCTTCTGAGCTACTTCTTTCTTTATCCTTCACAAACGAATGTACTGCCACGAAGTCAAGGAATCACATCACTCAAAACAGCTCTTCCCACAAGTAAAGATATACAATTGGCTGATGCAGTTTCTATTTGAAACTGTGAAAATGTGTTCTAGATTAAGTAAATGCTATGGTGTAAGATTTCCAGCTGCATTAAACTGCTTATTTGAGGTTCTGTGCCTTTGAAGGGAGAAAAAGAGAGATTTGCTCCTGTCCTGGCATTACTGAAGTGGTCCCATGGAGGGATTTCTCACACCCGACACCTACTGCTGCTTATCCCGGTGATTGTTATTTGCCTTAAACTTGTCACTAAACACAGTGGACGTGGCTGGAGCCTGCTGTGCTGTCACAGGGGTGCCTGGGTGACCACTACAAACTAAAGCAAGTTAAAGAGGTCTCCTGGTGCTCTGGCTGTGCCAGGGTTAGCATGAGGTTTAGTCCAGCCTCTTCCCTGCATCCATCACCAGGGAGTAAGGGGTGAAATGCCCGCTCAGCGTTCAGTACACTGATTTAATTAGTGCCAATGACAACAACAGATGAGAAACATGATACTCACAGAATCATTTAGGTGGGAAAACACCTTTGAGATCAAGTCTAACCATTAACCCAGGAGTGCCAAATCCACCACTAACCCATATCCCTCAGTGACGCATTGGCATGTATTTAAAGACGTCCAGGGATGGTGAAGCCACCACTTCCCTAGGCAGCCTGTTCCAGTCAGTTAGTAACATTAATTAATAACATTGATTCCAGTGGGAATGAGGAGCTGTTGGCATGCTGGTCCTTCAGCTCAGCCACTGTAGGTCCTGTGAGCAGAGCAGCTTAAGGATCCAGCGCATCATACAAGCAATTGTAATCAGGTCTCCCAAGATACAAACTTCCAGAGAAAACAGACTGACTGCCCTGTCACAGGCAGGACTCTAGAGCTCAAGTAGTGGGATTTCATTCAGTTCCCATAAATTAACAAGATTTCATTTCCAATGCAAAGACCAGCATGGTCTACTCTTTGCTGCTTGATGCAAGTGCTCTCCTTGTCCTCCTTTGCCCTCCCTTACATAAGGTTTCATTCACTCTTCATCACTCACCTCCTTTTCAAGTGTCCTCACAAGAAGCAGCCTGTTTTCCCTAATGCTCAGGCTCCCAGCCCTGGGTTTCCTCCTGCAGCTCCAGCTGTTTCCCTTTCCTCTTTGTTTTCGGTTAGCCACTGGCCAGCCCTCAGTCTCACCTCTCCTGCTGCAGGTTTCTCCTACCATGTTAAACCCCCAAATCTATATAATTCTGTCAAATACTTTAATTTTGATAGAACTGTATGTTCTAATGGCAAACAAGTGAAAACCTTTCCCTGGTGACTCTACTTGGAAAAACCATGGTTATGGAGCACAGAATTTGATATGAATGAATTTCAACCATACCAAAGTATTTGTGCAGTATATGGCCGGAGAGGTCACTAAGGGTAATTCAGTCTGAGCTCAGACAGTCACAGGCTGTAAAGTTTCCAAGGAGCCTGAATACAATATATGTTTTATGAAGCTGCCTGGTCTCATCCTTGCAATTCCAGGCAATGCTCAGGCTGCCACATCTGGAAAACACTCTCAGCAACTAAATACCCCCTCGCTGCTGGGAAATAGCATCTTAGCTCAAAATTGCCTTCCACTAAATTCAGCTTTCAGAAATCATTATGTTTTTGTCTGTAAAAATGAGCATCCCCCTTACTATCAAGTATCTTTCTTACGAGTAAGGACCCGCACAACGTAACAAATCACCTCTTCATCTTTCTCTGCAGATGATTTGAGCATCACGCGCTTAACTTCTGTAAGGCTTCCTAGATAATATTTGATTCTCTCTCAAGGAATATCTGAATCATCCCGAAATGTGAACAGTGGAACAAGGTGCAATAGCCTTGCAAGAGTCTAACCCGCACTGTACAGAGGTAAACCTACTACTTCGCTTCAGCTCAATTCCCTTTTTCCCTGTGCAGTTATTAGCACCTGGACCATTATCCTCTTATCCCTCTAGCTCCTGGCCGCCTGTGGAGGGATGGAGGGGGCAGGAGGCATGGAAAGGATAAGGATGGTTTGCTGCATGGATCTCCTGTCTCGTTAAAAATAGCAGGTATGTGTACAATAGTGTAAATGCCTGGAGGCATCTCTTGGTCCCATTAAATGTCGACCACTGAATCCCCTTGGAGCATTACTATGGGAATCTCCTCTTAATTTCCTCTTTAAAATGGAATATCTTGTAAGTAAAACCTGGTGTCCCCAGAAGTAGTGCAGTGTCTCCAGGGCTCTGCCTGCTTTGTCTAACCTCACCCTCTCTCCTCCTCCTCATCACCCCAGCCTGGTTTGTGCTGGAAGGGATCTCAAAGCTCACCCACCTCCAACCCCTGCCACGGGCAGGGACCCCTTCCACTGGAGCAGCTTGCTCCAAGCCCCTGTGTCCAACCTGGCCTTGAGCACTGCCAGGGATGGGGCAGCCACAGCTTCTCTGGGCACCCTGTGCCAGCGCCTCAGCACCCTCACAGGGAAGAGCTTCTGCCTAAGAGCTCACCTCAGTCTCTCCTCTTGCAGGTTCAAGCCATTCCCTTGGCCTGTCCCTTCTTGTCCTACCTCTGAACCGTGCCTTCCCCATCAGAGGCTGCAGACCTGCTTCCCACCTGGCTGTGTGGAGAAGCTGCCTTGTCAAACCAGATCTGCTGTCCCTGCCATCCCTGATGGATGCCAAGTGGAGTTGGGCCTCTGTGTCTTACTTCTTCCTGGAGCCCAGAATTATACAGGGACTGACATGAAGGCTATAGCTCATTGCAGGGTCTCATTTCTCATTTTCAAGGACTGGAATTATATTCTTAGTTACATTCCTCTGTACATAAATGATGCAGCATAATAAAGCTTTCTGGTGCAGTGGGAATGGCTGTAGGGCAGAGCTGCTCTTTTAATTGCTGTTGCGTTTCTATACATGGGAAAGGATGTCTTATTTATAGAGCAATCCAGAATTATCAGGCTAAAAATCTGGGGCCTCAGCTTAAGAGCACCCATCTCATTTAGTAATAGATGTGCTGCCTTACTGCTCCCCCCATGGAAATGACCCATTAAAGTATATGTAGGATGAAGATTACGTGAAGTAACTGGACACACAGCTCTCTTTCCTCCAAATATTTCCCCAGATGAAGGTGATGACAAGTTATGAACTACATTTGTTTTAGTAACATTAATTAAAGAATATAGTAACAAACTCCCTTTTCAGGTTATAATGTAGTCAATCCCATCTTTTATCCTTTGACAATGGAACATATGAAAACTGTGAGTGGAACTGGATTGTAAATAAGGGAGTGTTACACCTGGGAGTTGGGTAGGAGGGAATTTACCACCAGAACCTATGGAATTACCAGCGTCACCCTTCCCTGGTGCTGCAAGTCCAGCCTTTGTGCTCATACTGCCTCAGCTGCAGCTTTGTGTGCTTTCTTGTCAATACAGTGACTTTTGGGTGAAAGAAGTATCATAAAGCCTCTTTTCCTCTATCCCCAATACCCTCAAGCTCTTTATGCAAGTGCTGGACTGCAGCCCCCTCTTCCTGTCTGCAATGATAACTTGGGGTGTTTTTCCCCATATCTCATAATTAAGCGATAAGCACAGAGGGGGGGAGAAGCTGCAGCTTCCAGCAGTTCAGCTGACCATTTTGCTTGGGCTGGAATGAATCTGTTGACCCATCTGACTGTACAAATGCTTCTGCATTTCTAACTGCCAAGGGGCAAACAGCAGCGTGTGCAGAGAGGACACAGCAGCTCCCAGCATTCCCATGCAGGCAGCAGGAATTTGCTCCTCCAAATACTATCTCATGCTCCTCCCCATGGATCCCCACAGGGGGAATTGACACCATCAGTTCTCTTCCTGCAGCTTTTTGGAGCCTACAGGTTATGAGCACACAGAGCTCTTCATGCCTCCCTCCGCTATATCCAAAATACACAATGGCTGCATATAACCTCTAAATGTACAATATTCCACAATAGCTTTTATTAAATCCATTACATTTAAGACCATGGTTATGAGCACATAAGGTCTAGTGCATTTTTCTGCCTCCCACAACGCTTTCCTCTCAGACTTCATTATTGGTGTCTATCTCAGTGAACTCTTTCTCCCTGTGCCCTGCACAATGCTCTACTGCAGAGCTACAACTCAGCTTTAAATATGGAAAAGGAGAACTCCAGCTGGGAAGCGCTGGGTTTATACCCAGTGATGTTCCGTACTCAGCACGGTGCAGAACACAGAGCCCATCGTCCTTGCCCCCAGGGACACAAGACCCCAAAGGACAAGCCCTCTCCAGATTTGCTACAGACTGGGAGGCCTGATCCAGAAGGAAGGTGCACACTTTCACTTCTTTTTGAGGCTTATCGTCAGGAATCTTGCAGCCTTTCAAAGGGAAGATTTGAACAGTGACAAGGCAGAGCATGGAGAATTTTCCGGGCTTCAGAGTGCAGATTAAGTGATTTTCTCCTAAGCACGTGCTTTATTCCTTCCCTAATTGACTGGGCTCTTCTTTAATCGAGGTTTCATAGTGGGGAAATGCAATACAATCTAGTAGGAGATGTGGGCAAGTCTTACGACAATGACACTGAGCAGGCTGCATCAGTTCTGCATTTCCAAAAGAGAATTCGAAAATAGAAGACTAAAAGCCATACATTAACCAAGATAACACACAAGTAAACACGGAAGTGTAGTCCTGCTGTAAATAGCATTCTGTAAAAATAGAGGTGATACAATACGATCTAGTAGTGATGGAAAATCGTAGCTTTTCTTTCTGTCAATGGTTTCCTAGGAAGATCGTCTTTCCCGTGGTAGAAATTAGCTTCTGTGGTATTTCTGGAGCCTCACAGTTTGAGACAAATAATGATTTCTGGTATATTAGCACGCTGCTGAATTTTCTTCTGTTTACTGACTGAAAGTGATCATTACATTCAGATCAGCAAAATCTGTGTAATTTACTAATTATGACTAGACTGTATGTGCAGAACCACAGTGGAAAGTTAATATTAAATATGACTATAAAAAGTGTTTATTTTGTGTGCATACTTCTTATAAGACCTCTAAAGACTCTGATCTATGAAAAGATTTAGCTTTTATTATCTGTTATGCTGAGCTTTGACTGCAGATTAAATCCATTGCAGAGCTACTCTCCATTTCAACAACTACAATCGGAATCTTTCACCCATGCCACCATGGAAACTGTGAAGGTCAGAAAAAACCTTAAATACAGCAGTAAATAAACATCTATGCAGTGTATGGATTAAAGAAATGCATAAGAAACAAGATTAGAAGCAGTTATGCAGTATATAGATTAAGGAAATGCATTAAAAAAATGATAAGAAGTAAGGATGAAAGATGAATTAAATTTTGTGTGATGGTCCAATGCGAAAAGTGCTTTCCAGTCACCTGATATTCCTCCTTAAACTGCTTTTAAATGAACACCTTCCCATCTAGGACAAGATATATAGACTGCAGAAACTCACACAGGGACCTGGTCTGGTTGAAGAGTCAGTGCTAAGTGATGGACAAGCAATTGCAAGGGCACAGAACTGATTTGTTCTCACCCACCTGATGGTCTGGTTTTCCAGTTAAGTATTTTGAGGGATCTGGGAGTGATTCCCCATTTGCAAGTTTCAAATTGTGGAGTTGCCAGTGCCCCATCAAACATGAAACACACTTTAGACTTTGCTCATTTTCTGGGAGTCAAAAGAAATCAAAATCAAAGCCAAAGATTTCGGTTATCTAAAACAAATGAGAAAAATAAGTGATTATTTTTTGGGTTGCTGATTAAATTTAAAGTGATGCTAAACATTCTGGAAAGAGATTGACATTCTAGTGAGGCTTCATTTCCTTCTCAGAAAGCAGCCTAGTACATTGCTCCACTTAAATCTGATTAATTGAGAGAAAAACACACAGCAAAAGAGCACAGCGGACAAATGATGGCAGGTAGCCATGCCAGCAGTGTGCCATCTCCAGTGTCCAGCACGATCCTGGTGTGCAAACCCATCCCTACACAGTCTGAAATCCATACAAGCCCTTTCCTTCACATGCCTGCCTTAACTCATTCGCTAAAAGGTTTCTGAAAACGACCAATGATAGGAAAAAAAATCAGCATTTTCCATTATTTCTTCTCTCCAGTTCTGTGTTGAGACTATTGTACTCTGATTAAATAAGTAATTCATCATCATTATAGGATAGAATAAAAAACAATGAAAATACTCCAAAAAAGTAGATTTTGGTGTTTTGCACAGGGTTTTTGTTTAAATATTTACCCAAGATTATACCCACTACAGTGTTAAAGATATTAATCACCTTTATTAGACGTGCACAGCAATGGAGCATGGCACAAGGGAGACAGCCACACGTTTGTATTCCCTGGAGCTGTTTATAACAGAGAGAAATAAATTTGTTTCTGTTTCCAAAAGCAATTAAAGCAAACAGCGTGAGAATGAAGTTCAGACAAGCCTAAAGAGCGAGCTGCAAGGAAAAAAGAGCGAGGCTGCAAGAAAACAGTAACATTAATAAGAACAATCACTTCATTCCACCCTGATGCCACTGAATTCATTGGAACCAGTTTGTCAGCTCTGAACCAGCTTGTAAGTGATAAGAACTCATGGTCCAAATCTCAAGGCCTTGAAGATAAATCCTAGAATCATAGAACAGTTTGAGGTGGAAAGGACCTTAAGATCATCTGGTTCCAACCCCCTGCCATGGACAGGGACACCACAGAGGCACTCAATATTTCCCCTCCTGAAGAATCATAGAATAGTTAGGGTTGG